TTCCCAACTTTTTAAACTTATATATTTATTACATACTTGATAACCAATCCTAAAAATAAATTATTAAAATAAGAAATCAAGATGTCTCATGCCTGTAATCCCAGCACTTTGGGAGGTCAAGGCAGGAGGATCATCTGAGACCAGGAGTTTGAGACCAGACTGGGCAACATAAGGAAAGCCCGTCTCTACAAAAGTGAAAAATTACATAGGCGTGGTAGTGCATTCCTATACTCCAGCTACTTGGGAGGCTGAGGGGGAAGGATCACTTAGCCCAGGAGGTTGAGGCTGCAGTGAGCCAAGATCGGGTCACTGTACAACAGTCTGGGCAACACAGTGAAATCCTGTCTCAAAAAAAAAAAAAAAGAAAGAAAGAAAGAAAGAAAGAAAGAAAGAAAAGAAATGAAAAATCGAAGGAGGAAGAGGAGAAAGAAAGATCTAAAGAGGTGATGGCCTCCATGAAAATGCCGATGGATGCACATGTCCCTTAAGTCAATGAGAGCAGAACCAGGCTCTGGTGAGGCAGGAGTCACATGTATGTAACAGTATGCCCATTAGCCCTCTGGTCTAGCAAGGCTTGTTGTCAACGGGCGTTAAATAATCTCTTCTTTTTCCTCGGACAGCTTTAATGTGGGGAGGGAGAGACTACGATCTGTCAAGAGTGGTTTGGCTGCAATGCTGTCTGAAGGCGTGAAAATGAACTCCAGGGCAGCTTCAGCATTGGAATAAGAGTCTGGGCCACGTTCAACATCTTTGGTGTTCAATAGCTATCACTACTGTATTTGGCCACAGTTAGAAGGGGCCGCTCCAATCCTCCTTACAATTACTGCTCTAATTATTACATTATACTTTCACAATTTAATCCCTTTTTTTTTGCCTCACTGCCTTTGTGGGGCTAAGTGAGCACCACGGTGTGATGCCTGATGATGTGGCTAGCGGGGCAGCCTCGCCGAGTGCTGCGCAGCTGCCAGCTACAAGCACAGCCAGGTGGGCAAGTCCAGAGTGCTAATCTGGACAGTGACATCTTTGTCTCCTGCTCAAAATCCTTGAAACTTGCTCTCTCCAATATGGAGTAAAACTGAGCACATACATCAATGCCAAGAATCACCCTGCACTTTGCTCTGTTGAGCTTTTGGTAGCATTTCAGCATCCTAAAGAATAATCATGCATAGAATTCCAATTGTTCTAATGATTGCTCAGTAAATAACTATTGCCGAGCTATTAATGTCTAACCTATGAGATTTTTTGAGACAAGGATCAGGAAATTTTTTCACATTGTTAATCTATCATTACCAAATATACTGAAGACCCAAGGGTTTAATCCCCTCAAACCCAAAAACAGGTATTTTCTCAAGGGAGGAGACATTTGTTAGAGGAATTCATCTCAATCCACAACCTTTGGGAACAAAGCTTTAATAAAATGTGGATAAGAGGGCGCTCCAACCAGCCTGCTGTCTGAATCACAGTAGGTTCCCAGCAAATATTTGTTAAATAAATGGGAGTGGTGTTCACATGGAGAACCTCTTGCTTATATCAGCATACTCGGTGCTCATGAATTTATCCCAAAATATTTGCTTATCTTTGTGTAGTTAGATGCAGTGCTGTGTAAACCGAGTTAACAAAATCAAATTAATAACAGATTAAATTGTATATACTCTGTAACCATAAGGATTATATAACTGTTGAACAATGGCTGGTAAACACCCAAAGATTTGAGGTGTGCTTTCATTCTCAAATTTTGCAGTGTTAGCAAATAGGCTGAAGAGATTTCTCAAATGCCCAAAAGTGATCAAAAGCCTTGTGCTCTACAGACCACCATTGTTTTTAGCTTACTCACTTTCCATGTGATTTTATATTTTATTTTAAATTTAAGTATTCTGACGTTAATGCCTTCAGTTTATAGATGAGGATAAAGAAGATAAAGATCCAGTAGATGAAAGATTTTTGAAATAAAATATCAATATATATAGCAACGATGAGCCAGAAATTATACAGATACAGTTATGAAGATATTTAGAAAATTTGTATGTACTGCACACTAACTTGGCTTTGTGTTCTTCATGTAAAACTATGGAAGGCTATGAAAAGATTAGGATTAAGTATCTCATCTACTATGTAAGAGTGTGATGCCTTGAGAAACTGTGCTTTAAGTAAATTTTTTTTTTTTTTTTTTTTTTTTTTTTTTTTTTTTTTTTGAGACTGTGTCTAGCTCTGTCTCTCCAGGCTTGAGTGCAATCATGGCTCAGTGCAACCTCCAATTCCTGGGCTCAAGCAATACTTCTGCCTCAGCCTTTCCAGTAGCCAGGACTACAGGCACATGCCACCATGCCCAACTAACTTTTAAATTTTTTCATAGAGATAGGGTTCTCACTTTGTTGCCCAGATTAGTCTTTTGAACTTTTGGCTTCAAGGGATCCTCCGGCCTTAGCCTCCCAAAGTACTGGGGTTATAGGCATAAGCCACTACAACTGACTAAGTAAATATTTTGATCTTGTTCTCATCAGCTACAGATTAAGGAAGTTATGTAACAGACAACAAAAAAACAAAGGGAGAGAGAGTACAGCCTATTCCACTAAGGACTGTCACTAAAATCTTCAGTGCAACTGATGGAGAAGAGTTAAATTTCCAGATGCTCTTAAAAGGGAAGGTGGGGGCCAGGCACAGTGGCTCATGACTGTAATCTCAGCACTTTGGGAGGCCAAGGTGGGCAGATCACAAGGTCAGGAGTTTGAGACCAGCCTGGCCAACAAGATGAAATCCCGTCTTTACTAAATATGCAAAAAAATTAGCCAAGCATCATGGCGGGTACCTGTAATCCCAGGTACTTGGGAGGCTGAGGTAGGAGAATTGCTTGAACCTGAGAGATGGAGGTTGCAGTCAGCCGAGATTGTGCCATTGCACTCCAGCCTGGGTGACAGGGTAAGACTGTCTCAAAAATAAAAAAAAATAAAATAAAAAAAAAAAAGGAAGGGCCGGGCACGGTGGCTCACATTTGTAATCCCAGTACTTTGGGAGGCCGAGGCAGACAGATCACGTGAGGTCAGGAGTTTAAGACAAGCCTGGCCAACATGGTGCAACCTCATCTCTACTAAAAATACAAAATTAGTGGGGCATGTTTGTGCATGCCTGTAATCCCAGCTACTTGGGAGACTGAAGCAGGAGAATCACTTGAACCTGGGAGACGGAGGTTGCAGCGAGCCCAGATCGTGCCATTGCACCCTAGCCTAGGCCACAAGAGCAAAAATCCATCTCAAAAAGAAAGAAAGAAAAAAGGAAGGTGGGAGACTGCTCTACGTACACATAAAGGGTTTCAGATTCATGTTTTGTGAAACTATTTAAAAGGATTAGTACTTAACAAATATGACTTCTTATGTACTTTGAAAACTAGCACATCACAGAATTATGAAGGCTCCAAATAAGCTGGTTTCAGTCCTGTTCAACAAGGGACCATTAGCTGCTGATGGTCTATGGTCAGTGGTTAATGAGCAGTAGCGTGATCTGGAGCCGTGGGTTTAGATTTGAATCAGCATCAGGATTACCCAGAGGGTTGATAAAATGCAGATTGCTAGATCCACCCTCAGAGACTCTGTTTAATACACGATGGGGCCTGGGAACCTGCATTTCTTACATTTTCCCAGATGATGCTGATACCACTAGTGCAGCCACTGTACCTTCAGAGCTGTTGGCAAAGAATACAACAGTATAATGCAGTGGTTCTTAACTTTGGCTTTACATTAAGTATCACCCAGTAAGCTTTCAAAAATCCCCCCATCCCTGGCTGTGCCCAAGACCAATTAATTCAGAATTTGGGGACATGAGCCCTGGCATCAGTATTTTTTTAAGTCTTCCACTGATTCCAGTGAGCCAGCAAGCTTGAGAACCACTGATATGTGGGAAGATAAACTTGGTGCCCATAACTGGTTATGAAGAAGGCGTAATTTGTAAACCACTGAGCAGAACTACTGATGTGCTGTGGATCTTCAGTATATATATATATATATTTTTTCCTTCCCCTATTTTCTTCAAAAGTGGATCACAAGAGATCTAAAAAAGTGACACCTAATTTTCTGCCAGAATATATATCTATAGCTTGTTAATGAACTGAATTCTGTATCTGTAGATTACCAGTTTAAAAGGGCATAAACAAATTTCAGTCCTATTTTTCTACATTGTATGGGTGCAGTAATGTTATTTATAAATCTGGAAATCTAGGAAGTTTGGGGTACATATCACTTATATATGTTGGAGGTATATTTTATCATTTAATGACTTTTTATTGGTATAATTTGAAAGTCTTTTGATAGCAATTCATTTAAAAGTTAGAAAAAGTATATCTAACCATAAGAAAAAAAGAAAGACAAAGAGGTAATGACATCTGTCTAGAGCAGTGGTTCTTAAAATTGTTCCGTGGACCAGCATCATCATCAGCATGACCTGAAAATTGTTAAAAATATACACTCTCAGGCAGGCCCCCTCCCCAGATCTAACGAATCAGAAATTCTGGAGGTAGGATTCAGGAATCTGCATTTTAACAAGATCTCCAGATGATTTTAATGCACACTCAAGTTTGGAAATCACTGGTCTAAAGTATTTGTTATTTCCATGCTTCTGTAAGAAGATCCAAAGGGGTCAAAAGCACTTATTCCAAAGTGCATTTGTATAGTTGCTATATAGACTCACATAATATAATAATGTGGGTCTATATAATAATAATAATATGCTCTAATAATAACTATGTTCTTATAAACTCTACCCAAAGTTTATTATCCTTGCACCATTAAAGCTTAATGGTAAGAGGAAAATTAATAGGTATGGAGTATATCTGGGGGAATTTTATCCTATAAATCTTCCACTACCAATCGTAATCTATTTCTCTTTTCTATTCAAGATAGAATTAAGACTATGGAACTTGACTTATAAGAATAAGAAGTAGGAAAAACAAAAAACAACCCATCATGTGAGGTTGGAAGGGGGGGGAAGGTATTCCCAGGTCCAACACTAACCTTGAATTGTCCTCTTGAAGAATGCCTTGCAGGCTTCACAGGAAGCTACCCCATAGTGGTACCCAGAAGCGATGTCACCACACACTAAACACAGTCTCTTGGGCATCGAGTTGAGCATGTATTCACACTTGGTCTGGGGATCTTCCACAATGGTGCTGGAGCAGTCATCATACAGTTTTCTGACAGGCCCACTACCTCCCAGGATAGGAGCAGAAGGGTAGAGAGGTGGCGAGTCAAGTCCGTTCTGATGGCCATTCATGGTTGAACTGTAGCTCCCACTGGCGTCTGACGAGCCACCAGGGCTGTGGTGGTTGACGCTGTCCGTCAGGGAGGCCGGGCTGGAAGGTTCCGTCTTGATGAAGGACGAACAGCTGGAATCAATGTGTCGATCTTTGTTTGACATTCTGCAGAGAAGCCTGAGATTGACAGAGATACAAACAGAGAGAGAAAGAGGAGAGGGTGTCAAACACAGAGACCAAAAGAACAAAAGAGATGGTGAAAAAATAGGGAAAGGAAAGGGAAAGTTAAAAGGAGGAAAAAAAAAAAAACAGAATTCATACGTTAAAAACATTGCTCTTTGAGAGTGTTTCCTAAGGGCTAGGGACTACACATCATTCATTCTCTAGTCAATACTTCTTGTTCTACAAGAAAGTAATCAGCATAAGGGCATGACAGGGTTACATCAAAGGGCCCAGACAGGCCGTAAACCAAAGCTCTAAAGGGTCCAATTGCTTTTATTTTACCTTTCTCTTGGAGAACCAGTGTCAATATCTAAATTAACTCTAGATTCTAAATTTATCAATGGAAGAGGTGGTGATTTGCAAAGTCTATACCATTTCTAAAATTGTATTTATCCTCACTCTACCTTTCTTTCCTCATTCTGATGCTGCAACCATTTTATTATGAGCAGAATAAAACTTTTGTTTTCAAGACTGAACAGATGATCCTCAGCTCTGTAATTACTGTTTGTCAGCATGCTTCCATAAGCATAACTGTGTCTTTTATTGATCTGACTAAAACACATAGGGAATATATCCTCAATCACTTTGTTTCTTTATTTAAATTGCTCTATTTCATAGCCATTCGGCAATATAGAAAGACATCAAGTATAAAATTCCAGCCAATATTTAAAGATTACTTCCCAAAGTCTGCAAAACTTAGCGACTGATCACCAGTATTGATTAATAAATACGTGCATGTGTTTCTTGTGTGTGATTTGCCATTGTTTAAAAGATGAATCAGTAAAAGCCATTTGAGTCTTCAGTATACCTATGAGTCCATAAATCTGATAGTATATTACCTGATATTATAAAATCTGATATTATATTTATATTCAGTAAAATAGAAATGTATCAAATTTTGTCCTAAAAAAAAAAGATATTTCCGATGGACCTTCACCCACTTCGTTCTGTCATTTAACATTATTCTTCCTAAAAGGAAAAATGTCAAAGCTTCTATTCTGACACACTGTTTCTCCTGTCTAGAAGACACACTTCAACCCTTTGGTTGGTCGAACTAGTGACCAGATTTCTGGAAACGTAATTAGATGAAAAGATATCATTGGTTTTATTTTCTTTTTGTTTAGCCATTGTGCAAAACCTCGTTTAGCAAAATCTCTAAGAGCCTTCTGAGAGCCCACTATAGAAAGAAGAGGTGACAATCAAGAAAAGGACTTGAATAATTGCTTCCCAGTGAAAAGCTGATTTATGGGAATCCCTCTGGGTAATGGTCATTCACTAGAATTTGGGGGACTCCTCACAAGATAACCAAAGAGACGCAACTATCTCTTTCACCATACATCTAATGAAATTTGATCACTGAGCACATTTTACACCCTCCTCCAGGTTCTCTTTTCTCCATTGTTCTGTTACTTTAAAATGAAGAAATACATGGAACTTTTCTGGCAGAAAGGTTCATGTCACTCTTCCAAGAAGGCGTTCTCAAAAGCAAAACGTTGAGGCAAGATTTGCCTCTTACCAAAGATATTTCACTTTGAGAAATTTCGCACAGCTTTCTAAAGTCAAGCAGTATCAAGATGTGAAGAAAGCAAATAGGAAGGAGAAAGCCACCAAAATATCTCCTTGCTTTCACCCGCCCACGTGTGTTGTCCTTTCCTCAAGAACTAGCGAAAGAAAAAAATAGCCCCCTCGCCAGCCTGAACTACGGCGTCCTCTCTCTCCTGCATCTGCTGCCTTGTACCCGTCACTGCTAATGAACGTTGTAATTAATAGATCGCTCTCCTTGTCTCCTTAGCACTCTGGGCTAAGCACTTCCCTCAAGTCAACGTTTGAAAGAAAACGGGTCGGCACTGACTTACAGCAGCCCTGCGAATTCCTTTTAATTTAGAGCACTTACACCACCACTTCACTTATTACCTTATAATTACTGGACTGCGCGCACATACATTATGATCTTAGACTAGAGTTAGAAGTTATTAGGGTACTAAACCATGCTTGCTCCCCTTTCCTCTCTCCAGCACTGAATTTCTCACAGCTATGACAATTAACTCTTTCACCATCTGCCTACAAGGCACTGTTTTTTTTTAATTTAGAAAATGGTTTTTTTCATCCAGAGGAGAGTTCCTTGGAACTGCTTGATCACAAAATATATGATGATTTCTTCAAGCACTCTTTTTTAAAAAAATTTTTTTTCCCTCTCTCTCTTTTTCTGTATCTTCTATGGTCATTTTCACCCCAATTTTTCTCCTTCAGGCTCTTGCTCATAGACTTGTAAAATTTGCAAAACTCTTGATTTAAAGAACAAAGCCAGAAATTACCCTCCCATTTCTGGATCAGTTATTTACTAAGCCATCAAATATTTATGTGTCAAATGCATGTCGTTAAAGTCCCTGAAAATAGGGACTCTCTAGCAAGCTGTCTCATACAAAATCTCAGTCCATAACTTGGTAATAGCCTGGATAAGGCAAGGAAATTCAGGAGGTACAAGCTGCCAGGGAGGTCCTTGGAACAGAAGCAATATCTTCTCCTAAACAAGGTCTGGCCACTGGAGCCATAAATGAAAGTGAACCAAGTGGATTTGTGCTGTAGGTTGAACATGTTTTTGCCCTGCCATGAACTGCTTCCTTAATTAATATCTTTTACCCAGTGGAAATAGTAAAAGTCAGAACTGCCATTTATCAAGTGCTTGTTATGTGCCAGGCACTGAGCTGAGCTCTTTACAAATATTACCTCATTGACTCCCCAAGAGAACTTCGGAAGAAAGGTATTTCTCTTTAGGAAAATGAGCCTCAGACCTTTCAGAATTTGCTGAAGGTCATACAGCCAGGAAGCAATACAGCCTGAATTTGAACTCAGGTCAGACTCCAAAGTCTAGAGCAGAAATGTCTTGAAGCCAACAGAGTTTTCAATGGTGTTTATTTGCTCTATTTTAAAAAATAACCAAGCCAGGAAGGTAGAGGTGGCACGCAGAGATACGCTTTTCTTTCTCATCAATGACATCCACAGACCACCCATGAATGGAGAAGGGCTGAAGAGACCACCGCACCGTGCTGGCTGCAGGTCTGTCCTACGGCCTCACCCACCCCAGGGTTTGGAGTAACGCCAAAACAGAATCTCTGAACGAACACAGTTGTCTCCTCATTACTACTTAGCTCATTACACTGAACACTTCCTAGACACTATTATGTTATAACCTAAAACTACAGCGAGTCTTAATTCTCTGCCTCTCTGTCTCTGAAATTCTACAGCTCTATTATTCAAGCCTGAAATATTCACAACTATCTATAAATTCAATTGTCAGCTGGTGGGTTTTATTCTAGACTTCACTTCAATCTAAAATTAGAGGCACTAAAATTCACATTAACTCTAAGAGGAATGTAGTGAATAGGACTTTATTTCAAAAGAACACCTTTTTGTCAGAAAGAGCCATTTTCAAGATGATGGCTTTATCTGTAGCCAAAGAGAATAAGCCCAATTCCACATTGTGCTGTTAATGCAGAAATTTTAAGTCACATCGGATTAATAAAAATATAAATTTAGTTAAGAATTATGAATAGAAATAACCTGTCGAAATAGGTGGGAAATATTTATTTTAAAGCCTTAGTATGGTTACCATTATGATTTTAAGAGAAATAATGAAACGAACAGGGAGTAAGACCAGCTAGCTCCCTTCCTTCCCAAAACCTCTGAATGAACCCCGAGAATAAACTGGAGGAGAAATAACGATGTCAAGAATAACCTTTAGTTTCTATATGAGACACTAGATTTGAGGAATTTAACAGACTTCCTGAAATTTCAGGGCTTTAAAAAGCATTTCAACACAATTTGAGATACAGCATCAAATAATTCTGATGATCATACTTCAACCTAGAAAGTCATTTCCCAGCCCTGCTTAGGTTCAGCAAGGGTAAAAATTATCTTTGGTGTAGATACTAATGATCAGGCAAATAAAATGTCTCAGTTGTTTGACTATTCAAAGACACAATTTTTGAAAGTTAATTAATGGTGTGTAGATGTATGCACATAGAGAGAGTAAGAGAAAGAAAGAATAAGAATCAATTAAAGTTGCTGCTGTAGGGGAAAAAAGGAGAATCTGTGTTAATGTTCGATTTACATTGTAATTATCAAGCTTAATTGTTTTCGGAGATTCCACCTACAATCAGGTAAATGTGGGATCGTGAATGAACTGCAGAATTTTGAATTTCCACATGCGTGTGCTGATGTTCAAAGTGGTCTACATTTCGATGGTAGGTCTGAAGCTCAGCCAGTACTTTTATTTGTTAAACATTGGTATAACAATAATGTTCCATAGGGCTATACATTATTAACCCTTTTATTGAAATACAAGTTCTTAACAAGCAGCTGCATTTCATCATATGAATTTTACACAGATCTTGAATTCATTTGCTACTGTATTTCCCCACTAAAACAAATATATAAATAAATGGGAAAATGGGTGCATAAAATTCTCATAAGGAATGTGTGTACAGGTCATCTTAGATCTTGCTTGTTACACGAAGGCAAGTTCTTCTGCAACTTTTATTATATTTATACCAATAATGAACCTTTTGGTAGGCTAAATAAATGTCAACTAAAGAAGTCAACACATTTTCATTTCTTCTTTGTCATCCTTAAGGGCCTAGAAAGGTCATCACTATAAATTCCAAATGCTTTAAAAAATTGTTTTCAATATTTTTGTGTAAGGACACAACACAGCAAACCTGCAAGTTTACATACAAATACCGAGACAAGAAGAGTTCCCACCTCCTCTGTATGATTCAGCGGAATCATAGAATTTCAGGAATGGAAAAGAAGTTTATCAAGTCCCACCACCTAATCACTACTGATTCAAAACAAAACTGAACCTATGGGGATCGGTTGATTTTCTACATTCTGAAATCACTAGACTAAATATTTAAGTATTTGTGTTTTAAAAAATAGAAAGTTCTTAATAGCAT